CTCCTTGCGATTCTCTCTATGCCGCCTCTCCCTCTGGTCCCCACCACCCCCTGAGCTCACACGTGTTCTAAAAACAAACAAACAAACAAAAATCTTAAAAAAAAAAGTGACAGAGGGAGGGAGTAGCAAAGGAAAAGAAAATATAGAAATGAAGCCTAGTAAAAGCTCAGAAACTATTTCTGAAGCTGTGAAGAATATGTTAAGACTATTATCTCTCTATTTTGTGGGCTCATTTCTTTTAAAATTAAGTCAATATTTAGGATGTTTTATCAGATTATACAACAGGTCACCTAGGGTTATACTATGGAATGATCAACATAAAAACCTAAAAAAAGTAGTCAATGACTCTTTACTAGAATTTGAAAATTTGTTAGGCTGGTTTATATTGGATAGAACTGTATTTAATTCAGGTGATTAAACTCATTTCTTGTTTAGAGTATGTCCTTAGGCTGTTGGTTTTGGCTAGTCAGCTCCATCTGTCAGTCACTGATTTGAAAACTATTCGGTCTCACATTGAGGTCTTTCATCCATTTTGAGTTTATCTTTGTGTATGGTGCCAAAGACACAGATGTAGTGAAAAGAAGGGCCATATGCACCCCAACGTTCAGAGCAGCAATGTCCGCAATAGCCAAACTGTGGAAAGAGCCAAGGTGCCCTTCAACAGACGAATGGATAAAGATGTGGTCCATATCTACAAATGGGATATTACTCAGCCATCAGAAAGGATGAATACCCAACTTTTACATCTACATGGATGTGACTGGAGGAGATTATGCTAATGAAATAAGTCAAGCAGAGAAAGTCAATTATCATATGGTTTCACTTATTTGTGGAACATAAGGAATAGCATGGAGGACATTAGGAGAAGGAAAAGGAATAATGAAGGGGGGGAAATCGGAGGGAGAGATGAACCACGAGAGACTATGGACTCTGAGAAACAAACTGAGGGTGTTAGAGGGGAGGGGGGATGGGTTAGCCCGGTAATGGGTATTAAGGAGGGCACGTACTGCATGGAGCACTGGGTGTTATACGGAAACAATGAAGCGTGGATCACTACATCAAAAACTAATGATGTATGGTGACTAACATAATAAAATACAATAAAAAAAAAAAGAAAACTATTTGGATGTTTCTGATCAACTCTGGTGTTTGTCATATAGAATATATGATAAACTTGAGTACTAAGGACTAGTTTTCATATCAAATAGATTGGGCCTCCATTTATTTAAGGAATTACAGTGTGGTCGGATAATGATTTCTAATAGAGAAGACTCAGACTTAAATATAGTACTGCTTCTCATGTACAGGAAACTAGGATAGCCATGGTAGTGGGTATTTTCTTTTCTAACTTAGTAACAAATTTATGTTTGTGGCAGACAACTTCTAAAAGAGACCCACTAAAAATTCCCCCACCTCTCAATATTCACAATCTCACATAATCCCCTCCTCTTGAGTGTGGGTTGAATATACTGACTCACTTTGAATGAAGACAATAGGACACAAGTGATGGGGTGTTACTTTTAAGATCAAGTTACAAAAAGACCATGCCTTCAATCCTGAATGCCATGTTGTGAGGCAGCTCTGTGGATAAACCCACATGGCAAGGGATTGAGGCCTGACCACAACTATTTGCATAAATTGGGAGCAGATCCATTTGCCCATGGATGATTCAGGTGAGCCTCAGCCTGAAGAGGACAGCTTGACTACAGTCAAATTAAAGACCCTGAACTGAAGCCAGCTGGCTGTGCTGTGCCTAGACTTATATCTCACAAAAACTGTGAGACAGTGAATGTTTGTTATTTAAGGTCACTAAGTTGGGAATAATCGGTTATACAGAAAGCATAGTACAATACATAATATAATGTGCAAATTAGTAATAACAAGTTATGATCATCTATCCATTTGTTTATTTAGCATTCAATAAATCTCCCCCTGGTATCAAGACCGCACTAAGCTCTGGAAAGACTCCAGATTCCTCAGTTGAGGGATACTGAGATAAAACTCAAGTGTTTTGGAATTTTATTTGCTTCAGGGGTGAGATAGAGAATGGTTGAAAGATTACACCAGGTTTAGGGAACTAAGCAAAATATACAAATGTCAGAGGCTGAAACCTTAGCAGATGGAGGACAACTGCTTTAGACAAGAATTTGTGAAATGTTAAATACTACTAACATTTAAGTTTGAGGGTCTGAGGAACTTCTAAATGAATTTACAGATCTGAAACACAGGCTGGTGAATAATTAAACACAGGGCTAGAGAATGGTTTTATCTCTAGCAAGTTGATGATACGTGAAGCCATCAGCATGGTTATACAGAGTAAACCACTCACCTATGTACAGAAACCTAAAAATTATGAACAGGATCCTATAAACAAAACTAAGAGGAAGCCACAAACAAAAAAGGAGGTTCAGATAAACAAGACATTATAAAAATGGATGAGATTCCTTCTGGAATAAAGTATTAGACAAGAGGGTCAAGTACTGCAATAAATCAAGGTAAGGACTGATAAATGTCTTGTGGATTGCCCAAAGGGTCACTGAGGACCTTGCTGAGAGTAGTTCCTACACAAGGTAGGACTGGAAATCAGGCTACACTGAAATGAGAAATGAGAAGTTAAATTATTCTAAACAAGGCTGGCTTCAGGGTAACCTGAGTAAGAGGATTTTTTGTTTTGTTTAGTTTCAATTAATGGAAGGAACTTGAATATGCTGGGATGTTGATGGCAATGGGGGAAGAGGAGGGAGGGGAACCAGAGCTCAGAAGAAGAAACAGTCCTATTAAGAGTACAGCTACAGACATAGGATTCTTTGGAGGTTTGGTGCCAGGAAGATAGGAATGCTGCCGTGTGGGAGTGAGTAATTATGCTCTGAAATTGGAGACAAGACCGTGTCTAACAATGGGGTTAAAGATAGTGGGACTGGACCAGCTTTTCTCAACTGAAGGAGGATTTTGCCCCATCCAGGCAACACTTACTAATAACCAGAGATGTTTTAGTTGTTACAACTAGGGGCATCTGGTGGGTATAGGCCAAGGATGCTGCTGAACAGTATACAACACAGAAGACAGGCTCTCACAACAAAGAGTTATCTAGCTCAAAATGCTAACACTGAAGTTAAGAAAACCTGGGTTCAGCATTTGAGCAAAGTGCAGGAGGTTTAAAATATTCACAGAGGAGGATGGGCGTTGATTATGCAATTGTAGTATATTTGCTTTAAAAATAAATAAATAAAATATTCTTTGCCCACTGGAGAATGGAGACCAGTATTTTTTAATGGCAACAATCTGCACTGCTGTGTGATTTTCTCCAGCAGTATGAAGTTTGAGTCAAGGCTTAGAGAAGTGAAAAGTTAGACAAATACATGGAGTTTTAACGAAGGGGTGCATTTGAAGGACAAGGGAATTGAGGATAGCGGTAGAAGATTCATGATCCACTGAAGCCCTAAAACATGACATCTAAACTAGGCAAGGAAGGGTATAAAATAAAATGTAGCCAAAAGAAAAGGAGAAGATGGGGGACCTGGAGTTTCCTATAAAATTCAAATATGCACAGGAGTAATTTAGCAAAATATATGAAACGACAAAATGTTGTGGTCAGAGCTTAAGAAATAACCTTAGTATTTATTTTGTCAGCACAGTTAAGATGATGGCAATATGCAGACTGGACCCAATGGGTAGGTAGATGAAGGTCACTGGAAATGAAAAGGGTAAGGACCTGAGAGGCCAGAGTGATGAATAAATCACACAAGGCCAGTCAATGTACTACTGTGTGTATCCCTACATTCCATGTCATTTCATCATTCAACAGATACAGAAAAAGAAGCAATAAAAAGAGAATACTGTAATAATTGTTATCAAAGGGATTTCTTGCAGGGTCTAATACTAGAAAGATCCATAAAGGAATTAGTCACACAGAATACAACAGCTGGGTACTCAACAAAAGTATAAAAACCCAACTCTCTAAACTTAGGGTTGATCGATAGCCAGAGTTCCAGTAATATTCTTTCAGGGTCCCACCTCATTGACTTCTGCATTGACTGGAGAAAGAATAAATGAGATTACCCAAAGATAAAAGACTATTTTTGAGGCAAAAGGGTGCTTCAGTGGGTCTGACAGTGAAAAGTTATCAATAAATATTCTGCAAGATGCAGCAGTGAAACTGGGGAATGGAATTTAGGAATAGATTCTCAATAGGTGAACTCGAGGTAGAAAGCAGACAGCGCAAGATGTGAAAATTTCCAAGGATGAAGGGGAAATGTCCAGAAAGTCAACGGATAGAAGCAATATCACAAAGTAGATTACAGTATAACCTTTCCACTGAAGAGACAGTGGATATGGTGGTCATTTTCTTTCAGCTTTGGGTTGTTGCTCCAAGTGCTACTGGTAGAATTTAATACACATCTGTCTCATCATCAAAAATTTAATTATTACAGTTTCATCTTCACCAAAAATTTACTACAAGTTAGATGCTTTCCAAAGTCAATCCTCTTAATAACTTCACAAAGTAGATGTTATTGACATTTTCAATTTAAGATAAGGAAATTAGGCAAAAAAGCTGCCATCTGAGCAGACAGTCCTAACAGAGCCCGTTCTCCTTCTAACTGCACTATCATGATAAAATTAACTAAATAAACTTTTTCCTTCAGCTTTTAAGTAGAATTTGATTCTGTATATTGTTAAAAGGTCATCACATGTTCATCGTAAGTCCTGATAGATGGTTATACATTTTAATAGAAATACGGAAATGACTTAAAATTAAATAAAATCATTTTGTCAAACAAAACATTTCAAGACAAAAAGTTGTCAAAGAAGTAAATAATCCAAGTCGTTAGTGGTAAATGTTACAAATAATTCCTATGGACCTCCTCACACTTATTACTACTTCTTCCATTTCCTTAGCCCAATTAGGTATGAATTCAACTAAGAAGTTCATCAGCTCAAAAACAGGGAGTAAGTGGAACTCAACTCTTTGATGTCATGAAACTCAACCTTTGAATACTTACATTTAATTCATTTTTTAGTATTTCTTCAAGATAATGACCTACATGATTCTCATCTTCTTTTGTGTCCATAACTATGCAAATGTGTTGTGAAATTCTTTCTGAGATAAAAAAGAAAAAAAATACTAAGTTTCAAACAGAAAATGGAATAAAGCGCTAGTATGCTAAAATTGAGGCTTACCTGCTGTTCCTAACTGTCCAACTAGGAACCAGGAAGGTTTTACCTTCAGGCAGTGAAGTCACTTGGAATTCACACCGGTAAGTCCTTGACCCGTTACCACCCAAGTCAATAGTCATGTATTCAACACTGTATAGGTGGCTAACCAGAATGTGTGTAATCAACAGAAATAAGCGAGCTTAGGATACATTTGAAAAGGACTAACCGGAAGTGACAGCTCTTTGGCTTGACAATTCAATCCTCCTACATTTATTTGGAGTCTCCTAGAATCTGATAAAATCCCATCTCTCCTGCACATCCCCTCCTCAGGCTAGAAGAAATCTCCTGTGTGCAGCTCACTGTGCCACCTAGTGTCCCAGGTGAGTACAGCAGTTTCCTTGGCATTCCTCTCAATTTGGTCAATTCAATACAATTAAGTTCCCACCTGTTTAAGTGTTACCACAAGTGAAAAGAGCTAAACCGATTTTCTTCAAATTTTTTAGACCTCTTTGACATGATCTGATTCAAAAACAGAAGCCATATGACCTAATAATGTTCACCTTTGTTAACCCTGGATGCACGCTCTCAAAAGATATGCCGTCCTCCTCTATAGTAGACAGATCTAAAATGCTAAGAAATAGCTATATTGCTGCCAATTAAGAAGATGTTGCATGGTATTATATGAAGAATAAAGAAAAAAGGCCGAATTTTAAATGAGAAGCCTAAATCAAGTTAGTTTGATTAACATTTAACCCAGCTATTAAGGAGGGCACATATTGCATGGAGCACTGGATATTATACGCAAACAATGAATCATGGAACACTACATCAAAAACTAATGAGGTACTGTATGGTGACTAACATAACATAAAAAAAATAAAAATAAAAAACACATTTAACCCAGCTGCTTCTTACATGGACAGGTCTATATAATTCGGTGTGTATGAACATTGATATAGTGATAGTTTATCATTTTTCTAAGCAAAGCTGGGAACAACAGACCACTTAAAATATTAACAATATCGAAAATAATAAAAGTAAAATAGGAACAATATCATCAATTAATAGTACTCCTATTACTAATCACCTCCCACTTATCAAGAATATTATATGGTGCTGGAGCTCTATGTTCTATTAGTACCAATCTTCATGATGACACCCTTTATAATTTTCTGAAACCATATAAGAGATTCCAGAAACATGACCTCACAGAAAGGAAATTTTTTCATGATCACTCTTGCCAAGGCTTTATCAACTTTATTAACATTTTCAAAGAAAAGCTTTTTGATTCTCTTGTATGTTTATTTTCTAGTTCTTGGATTTCTACTATCCAGTATTTTCTTCCTTCTACCCTCTTTAGACTTAGTTTGCTGTTTTCTTGAAAAAGATGCTTAAATTGTTTACTTCCAGCTTTTCCTTTATTCTTATACTTACATATAAAGCCTTAAATTTTCCTCTAATTCACAGCCTTAGCTTTATTTCAAACATTGTGATATTTTCGTTCAGTTTAAATTATTTCATTTTCATTTTAAAAGATTTCATTCACTTTCCTCTCATTTTAACATTTTGTAATATCTACTGTAATTTCTCATTTGTTATTTTTTTTGAAGTTCTCATGAGTTACATAGCATATTTTTATTATTCTGTTTGTTCTACAACAAATTACCATAAATTTAGCAAACACCCACTAACTAGTCCCTAATTCTGTAGGCCAAACAAGAAAGACAAAACATGTACAGACATGATAAAGCAAAGGGGACAATATGTAAACAATGGGTGAATTGGTTTATCTAGGTAAAAGACAGATGGAAGTTAAGTGTACTATTCTTTCATCTTTTGTTTCAAAGTATACTAAAATAAAAAATATTCTACCCCCCAAAACAAATAAGGTACAATAAAAAAACATGAATATGTGTGTGTGTATCTACGTGTACATATGCACAGTAGGAGACCTTAAAACTCATCTTTTAAAAAATATTTTAACTACTGGATGTGGAGAATGTGTGAATCTTACTGTGGTAATCACTTCACAATATGTACATATTTCAAATCATCACACTGCATACCCTAAATCTGCATGATGTTATATGTCAATTATATCTCAATGAAGCTGGATAAAAAATAAATTCACCCCTCTATTTAGTGAAAATCAACTAAAAAAAAAACCTAAGAATCTAGATTCAAGGCAATGTAATAAATAAGGTGAATCTTTTATCATGGTCATTTCTATGCATCTGCCAATGTCTTGTAATTCCCAGTTATTTACTCCACAGTAGTCTATGCCAGACTTGTCATTTTCTTTATAGTGTCCATGTCCATACCGATATGTCCTTTCCCCTAGTATTATAAAATCCTCCACCTATCCAGTGTCATTCACAGTCTACACTAGGTTGAATCTTCATCAGTTCCCAAATTCAACGGTTCTCAACACCGGTTGCCCATCAGAATCAACCCCTGAATTGTGAGAAAGAAGTGTTGTTAGTCAATTGCCTTTGAGATTTCTAGTGTCAAACTACTTAAAAAACTCAAATCCACCCAATTCCTACTCTGATCTGCATGGCTCACTGGAGTTCACAATTTAACCATTTCTTACCCAATATTATAAAGGCAACATAAGAAAAAACATGCAATGTTGATCAATTACAGATACAAGGCAATTCTTGGGCATTCAATAATGTTCGTTAAATTATTAAGCCACATGAATTTTTTAAAATGCTACAGGAATCCAATCCAATAGCCAAAAAATTCTATAAATAGCACATTCATATTTTAACAATATTTTAATGTATGAAATATAGAGACTAAAAATCAATTTCTATGTAGAGCCGAACTTTCTACACAGAATTTATAAATCTAAAAGAAATGAAGGAAACATGGAATAAAGGACCCAACATTATGAGATTTTGATGAGGATTAAATGAGTTAATATACCCAAAGTTACATAGAGTGCCTGCTCCAAGTAAATCCCCAGTAAGTGTTCACATAATTGTTGTTGTTATGATCACATGGATTCAACAAAAAATACAATTTTTTTTGTCTACTGAAGATACGACCCATCTCTAATTTCAAATGTTCCCTGTAGTCTTATTTATTTCAGTGTTTCTTTAAAGAAAAAGGGAGAGGGGCACCTGGGTGGCTCAGTCCCTTACATGTGGGACTATTCCTTTCCGCTCAGGTCATGATCTCAGGGTCCTGGGGTCCAGCCCCAAGCCCTCTGGCTCCCTGCCCAGTGGGGAGGCTGCTTCTCCCCCTCCCCCTGCCCCTCCCCCCCACCCCCATGCTCATGCTCATGCACGCACACAAGTTCAGGCTCTCTCTCTCAAATAGTAAAGTCTTTCTTAAAAACTCCATCTGTGGAATTTAAGAAACAACTCAGAGGTTCATAGGGGAAGAGAAGAAAAAATAAAACAATATGAAATCAGGAGGGAGACAAACCATAAGAGACTCTTAAGCATACGAAACAAACAGGGTTGCTAGAGGGGAGAGGGGTGGGGGGTGGGGTAACTGAGTGAGTGATGGACATTAAGGGGGGCACATGACATAATGAGCACTGGGTATTATATAAGACTGATGAATCACTGACCTCTACCTCTGAAACCAATAATGCGTTATATGGTAATTGAATTTAGATAAATTTTTAAAAATCCATCTCAATTTTGTCCCACTAATCCTTTCCAAGTTTTACTATTTCACCCAAAATGCAGTAATTATGTATAATAATGAAAAACATCTTGAGTAACAGTCCCATGTTTTCATCCCTGAACTTAAAACTAAAATGGATACCTTCTGATCATTCACCTATCAGTTTGCCCATGAGATCTTGGGTGAAGCATCTCACGTGCTTTTTTTTTTTTTTTTTTTTTTTATGACAGAGAAAGACACAGCGAGAGAGGGAACACAAGCAGGGGGAGTGGGAGAGGGAGAAGCAGGCTTCCCGCAGAGCAGGGAGCCCGATGCAGGACTCGATCCCAGGACCCCGGGATCATGACCTGAGCCGAAGGCAGACGCTTAACCATCTGAGCCACCCAGGCGCCCCCTCGTGATTTCTACTAGTGATCCCACAAACATACACTGACAACCCTAACTGGGAGTGTCAATGTACTTAAATATCTTCACCAACGAAAGGGAACAGCAGTGACTATATTGGTGTCACGCAGGTAGAAACCCAAAATGGGAAAGAATGTAGCGAGGGAAGAGCGCTCCGATAACTTGAACCTCCTCAGTTCCACCCTGATTCTAGTACCCCCAGCTGAGAGAGAAAAATATGTATAACATTTAAAATTCATTTTTTTCATGAAGCACAAAACTTTCCAAATTTCTCAAAGCAAAGAATTTAACAACTTCCTTGAGGTTAATAATGAAATCAACAAAAACAGGAGCCTTTAGAAATGTTAATCTGTTGTTCTATTAATAAACCACTTCTTAGAAATGTTTAGTGGTTAAAATAAATACAACAATAGCATGGGGGAGGGCCATAAAATCATTTTGCTTCCCAGAATCATAAAAACTCTACAAGAATCCAATCTTTCTTCTCTCCCCAATAAAGACCTAAAGATAAATTAGAAAAATACTGGAGTTAAATTCAGATCATACCTGAACTGTCAACTTTATTACTAATATTAACTTCTTAGTTTTAGTTGCTACACTGTTTTTTTTTATACAATATCTTTTTTAAATCCTCCTAAAAGGATGGTTACGACACATGAAGTATTTTAATATCTAAACCTGTAGGGTAATTTCCCCCCAAAAATCTTTTTTAACACATAGTCTGATTTACACTGAATAACTCTTTATTTACATACAGCATCTAGGTATCACACAATTCAATGTGACTTAATAGAGAGAAAATTCTAATGGAACATGACCTGTAGTCTACAGATTAATATTAAAAAGCTGTAAGAATTAGTAAGCCCAAATTTTTTCAGTTAATGTCTCATCCCCATG